CATAATAAAGTGTTCACAACTTAAAAGTAAATACTAGTCAAAATTATTTGCTGTGTTATTACTCTCATGCAAAGGTATTTGTAATTGGTGCCATAATCAAAATTCTTTATTGAATATATAATGGTTTTTTATAAGATGACCCTCTGAATAGAAAAGATTTGTGTTGATTGACTTGAATTGTTTTGCTGTGAAATAAAAATGTTAAGAACTCATTTCCAAAGGATGAGAAATGGGAGGCAGCTACCCCTTTTTCTTCTTTTTTTTTTTAATAATGCCTAATTCCTGCTACATGAATTAAATAGATAAGGCTGCAAGCAGCTGCTCCCCACCAAAACACTTCACAGTTACATGATAAAATGTAGGTGATAACATTGTAGTGCTGTAAAACAAGGTTGTAGAAACGTGGGCATGTACTGACAAATTTGCCTTTAAATCTTCTTTGCTAATATTTATAGGCATGAAATCTTAAAGCACCTTTAATGTTCCTATAATCCTGCCCATTTGACAGCTTTTACATAATTTTATAGGGAAAGGTGACCTGATCATCCCAGGCTGTTGACAGTGCAGCAGAAATGGCCCTCCAATAAATGAAGCAGGATTATCCAGACACTATGGCAAACAACAGCTCATAATATGCATCAAGAAATTTCCATAGCACATCGGATCTTTGTCTTCAATGACACACAGATCATGACGGGATTTCAAGAACACATTTCCCTAGACACTTGATGAGTTTTAACGTAAAAGTATAGCATAAAAGGCCCCCTTAAGATAGGTTCTGTTTTCCATATTAGAAAGAAATTGCTTTCATTCTGGAAAACTAGAGGCATAGTTTTAAGCTGAGTGTTAACTTATACTGCTTGGTATAGCTGTGCTCCCTGACACTTTGAATACATTTATGAGTTTATTCAGTTAAAATTATAAAACATTGCATTTTTTTTTTTTTTTGCTGTGGTAAAATTCACTATTGACAATAAACAAATCTTGATGAAGGCTGTGATAAAACTATGCAGAAGTTTTTCTGAAGCTCTCATGCTTCTCTATAAAACACCTTACACAAAATGCTAGCTACATGCCTCCTAGGTTTATGTGATAATGTCAAGAAAAGGTTTTGATGCCTGCTGCCAATTCATACCAAAGATACCATGTGCTATAAATTTAGTTTATATTGGGGTAATTAACAGTGACATGGCCAGATTGTATTAATACCTCTGCTCCTATTGCTTAGCCTAGGTACTTTACAATTTGAATGCCACAAAATATCAATACTGATGCTTTATGGCACCATGCCAGAGCAGCCCGAGGACAAGCAAAGTAGAATTGGTTGACAGTTTTTGTTCGAGCATAGAGTTTGTTTGGTCTCATAAGACATTTATGAGGTCAATTGGATGTCATTTAGAATATCAGGAGAGAAACATATTTAAACTACACACCATGTCCCACTAGGAGGACAGAACTCTGTAAGCAAATACTAAAAAGGCATTGTGAGCGCTGCAGAGATAAGAAAGAAAAAAAGACTGGGCTAAGGGTGAAAAAAAGGGATCTTCCCTAGAGTAATAACTGTCCCTTTGACAATCCACAGAAAGAAATTAGGCAAAAGGAAAAACAAAACCACATGCAAACACAAAAAAGCTTTGAAAACAGCAAACATTAACTTCCCCTTAAAATAAAGTTTGTACTGATGATAGAGATGCTTACTCAAGACTTAACAGGGGACTAAGACTCTGAAACACCTAGGGAAAAGCTCTCAGTATGTGTTTTCCAGAATTTTCCTTGGTATCAGAATAGCAATGAACACTGATAAAATGGAAAAAATAAAACAACACCCAGTTACTAGACTGGAATTTTCTGTCATTAATCTGACATATGTCCTCCTGGAAAAGTATTGCATTGTTCTGTGTCTTTGTTTTCCTTCTGTTAAAAATTAGAGTTAGCTGTATTTAAGTACATTTTGTGTACTCTGACAATTCCATGTTCAGTAGAGACAAATGTAATAACATAAAAAATTATTAGCATTCACCGTTATAAAAAGACAGCAGTCAAATTCTATTGCTGATTTTTAAAGATCATCTGGTTCCAAGGCTTCTGCCATGGGCAGGGACACCTGCTCAAGGTCCCATCCATCCTGAACATTCTCAGTAATGGGGCATCCACAGCTTCTCTGGGCAACTTGTTCCAGTGCCTCACTACACTTATAAAGGATATCCAAGATTTGTGGGCTTTATTTTGTTTTTTAACTAAATGTGTTTTAGAGCTGACTACCTCCCTTAGGTTGAGCTCTTAAAATCAGAGCAAATATGAACAGAAAAAAAAATCACTACCTACAAATTGCATGTCTTCACACAAGAGTTAGGAGATTTTCAGCTGTCCTCCTGAAAAAAAGGGCAATGCAATATGGCTGATGAACTACTGGCCAATTTACCTACCTATTTTCTCTACTGTCATGTCTACTGGTGAATCCCAACCAACACTTATATTTCTTAAAAAGTTTTTCTGTGGCTTTCTGCAGTACTTTATGCAGTACATAAAATGTGCTACACAGGTGCAAGCAGAGAACCTGAAAGTTTACCTCCCATGGGTGAAATTCACCCCATTAATCAAGGGTAAAAGATGGGTACTTCCAGACTGTCACTCTTTCCCCTAAGGAAAGGGGATGCCACCTAAGAGGGGATGCTCTGGAAGTGCCAAGCATTGGCTGCAAGTGACCCCATAACCAGTGCACCGCCTGACTGTGGAGAGGACTTCAGTAATTCTGTTTACAGAATTCCCGTGGTAATTCTTGCTGTTGTATTTTTCTGGGATATAGAAAAATAAAAGAGTTTGGAGGTCAGGTGTTTTACTTCACTGTCTAACTTGCTGTACATTTAGACTCTGTCTATTGCCCAGTGATGTCCACCAAAAAAATATTTCTATGGGATATAGATTTGTATTTTTGCTCTTCCTTATTTGTATAACAGACTTGAATATAGGTCTTCCTCTTATCCAACAGCTGCATAAAAAGAAGCATCAGGTTCCCTATTTCCCAAAAAATCCCCCATAAAACACCACATGAAACCAGTTTCAGAAAATCAGAATTGTCCTGACAATGAAAAGGGAAAAAAATTTACATTTCCAAAAAATCACACTATGAAAACTGTTTCCCCTTAGCAGTTCTGTTTAACTCTCTGCAGCAATATATAAGGTATTTCAGTGCTCAGATGCCAGGGGAATATGTCTTCTTAGCTGACCTAGCTGCTGGCAATTCTGGTACTAATTAAATAAGCTACACTGATTTAGCAACACAAAGGTAATCCTACAAGATATGGTAAAACCTTTATACCAAGGACTTTGCTGACAGAATGAAAGTCTCAAAATCACTGTGAAAATTGACTTTTCATAATCAATCATAATTTTATGACTTTTCTTCTTGTTCATACATGTTTTGTATTTAGAAAAAATAATGATGCTTTATAATAGATTCAGAAGATCTAAGACTTCCTTACAGACTGCTAATCTGGTCTTTATTTATATGTGGGTGTGCATAGTGTTAAAAGTGCATAGGGAGGTCCCAAAATATACTGAAAATAATTATTGTAATTGTCTTCAGATGCTGAGATATCCAGGTTGCTAGTATATTTGGTTATGGTTTGGGGAAAGGCTTTGATCAGTGTGCATGATAATTTACATGAGGTCCACCAAAAACTGAAGACTTTGCAGATGTAATTCTCATCCACATTCATACTCATATACACATACTCAATATTCATATATTGCCTTTAATGTTCTCAGAACTTAAAGTAGAATTAATATTATTGTAATGACAAACTAAGATGTATTTCAAGGTATTTACAATCCTTTACCCTTCCTAAAAATTCTATTTTGCTCTCTTCTGTGTTCACTATTGTGACATAATAGTCATAAATTTAGCAAAGCAGTACAGAAAAGAGGGACTACATTCTATTATATAAGAAAATAGAGGTGGGAGTGGTATTTGATTTTCATTTAATAATGGGTGTAATGAGGAAAATATTCAAGCAAGGCAATGGGTCAGCAGTCTCACTTTTGGCATGGAGAAAAAGGAGTGAAGCCACTTAGGGAAATTATTGCCATTATATTTTAGGTACTGTTATTCCGCAGTAGAGAAAGTACTTTGGATATTACTTCAGAAGACCTGGAACTTTGACAAGACAAACCCAGAATGTTTCAAGTATTGAAATGGTTAAGGGAAAAGAGTCCATCATCACCAGAGGATGGGCACTCAGTTCAGAGCACAAGACTGTCTTTCTGATCTGTGTTTGCAGAGTGCCAGAAGAATGTGCCCTTTGACTGCATTTATCTGCCCTAAACTACATATCTTTACATGTAGAACCATCTGTGTGAGATCACCACCCCAGGCTTCTATTACAATCCACAAAAGGAAACAAACACCTCTGGAGGGTACTTCATGATATCCATTTTTGATGCTTATGTTATGGAAAGATGAATTCCTCTCTGAACATGGCACATGGGCTCTCACTACACTGAGGCACAGGCTACTCCTCTGACGAGTGTGCACAGTGCCTGGAACAAGAGAGCTCTGGTCCCTGGCTATTCCTAGCATGGCAAGGTGCTGCTGCAATGGAAACATTTCAGTCCTGAAAGTGCTAAGATCAGATTCCAGTGCCTTGGTAGGTTTTGTAGAAGCAAGTCCTCTGAGAGACTGAGGGATGATAATTTTTGGTTGTGTTAATAAAAGCACTTAATTCTTTGAAGCAAAGAACTTTTGGAAGGGCAAAATGGAATTTACCAAGACTCCATGATTAACATCTCTAATCTTGAAAATACAGACAATATCACACATTTATTTAACAGCCCTTTCATCACTTTAGTGATGATAGTGTGAAACAAAAAGGCTGGGGAAGACGTCACCGTGCAAAAATAATTATAATTAGGAACTGAGGGGTAGTAAATAAATCATCTTCTATGTTGCTTTCTTCTTTTCTCTTTCATTTTGGGTATATTTTCACACACTGGTTCCAGGGTTCATTTGCATTCCAAGTGTTCTTATTAAAGCAGCACCATTTATTCTACAATATATACAAGATTTTCTATTTTTAAAATTCTATTTCAAGGCACGAGCTTGGCATAGATTCAAATCCCAGGAGTGAGTTCCTTCTTTTTCCTTTAAAAAATAGTCGTAAAAAATTTTCATTGGAACAGTTTTAGGTTACATGGTAGGAAAAAAAGATGATGATACTTTCATCCACTTGCTCCTGTTTTCTTCCCCATTCTGTAACACAGCATCTGCAAAAATGAAAATGAAAAAAGAAAAAATATGAAAGTTTCCTCTTTTCCCCCCTGTTTTAGGCATTTAAAGTACATATAAATATATCAATGAACATAAGAAAATTCAGTATCCAATATCCAGCACAATCATTACTTTCACCTTCTAAACCTTGTGCATGTATGCAGCACAGCACTAACTTGACATATTGTAGGGTCCCAGTTAAACTATGACAATCTATCTATGAAATTCTACATGCTGAAAAGAAATTTTAACCATTAATGTCCAGCAAGTTTGCTCTTTGTAACAGTAAGGTATATAACAACACAAATATACTTCCTACCAAAGAGGAACTTCATTTAAAAAAGCACACTTAGGTTTACTTGTTAGAACATGACTGCATTTCAGGTTAAGCTCCATCTGGAGTTAAATGCCTATGCTTTTCAAGGATTGAAATGAATGTTAACTTTTACTTACAGTCTGGAATAATTTTACTGCAAACAGATTAGATGAATTTCCTTGGAATGTAGCAATTTAATCGGGCATATAACCCCCCACACAATCAGGAAAGAAGGAACACACGAGCAGAAGTTGTCACTATTTGTCCTGTGAACCACAAGAGAAAATCCCAGAGTGCCCATACAGATTCAGCTGTCCCTGATAGCTGCTACCACTGTTGCACCTTTAGAGACAGATAACTCCATGTGCAAGAGCTAACTTCATTAGCAGCTGCAGAACAGTAGCACATTTGTGTCCATTGGGCTTCCATTACCACTGTATCCAAGCGTTTCATGATAAGAAGAAACACATTTTCCAAAAAACTGCAAAACTGGGAAGTATTCTGTTCTTTAAAAAAAAAAGGAAAAAAGAAAAAAAATAGTGGTCAAGTGGAGTTCACAGTAATTAAGCATCTGCATTTCTGAGGTAGCAGGTATTTTGCCTTCACATCAACTTCACCCATGATTTTGTTTCTTTACAGTTCTTCAGGTTAGACCCTATCAATTGAGTTATCCTTGATTGCTGTGAAGGTCTGTAGCAAAGTTTGAATGATAAGCCAAGTTTACACCGGTCTAGCCGAATGATTTCATAGAAGAGCATTTGCCACTATGCAGAGAATGAAAAAAGGTTTGGTGTTCTTTGCAGGAAGAACCATATGTGTTACCATGAAACACCACATATAATGGCATGTGTGGGAGTGAAAAATTATCTTTTAGTATTGACATTTATTCTTTAAATTTTTTGTTGGGCAGATAGCTAAAAAGATTTAAAAAATAAATTTGATGACACCATATTTTGAGTTACTTGGGAAGAAAAAGGATGGAACTGAACTCTGCTTTCAGTCAAATGCCTAAATCTCTATTCAATTGCAGAAACTATGACCAAGGGCCAGAGTTCAGCTACGCAACTATTTTTTTTTTAATCAATGGAAATATACCAACATCTGTGTGATATTGTTTTCATATTTCAAAGGTTTTGACAGTGAAAAAGGTGAAACCTGCTGTTTTAATTCATGCTCATCTGATAATCGGCATTTAATTTTATTTCACTTAAACTAAACTTAAAAAATTATCCTTCAAAGCATATGCCTGCATGAAAATTAAATGCAAATAACAGTCTTTATGCTGCTTTATGGTGTGAAAAGTTTTTCTGGGGTTTTAGTAATATTTTTATTGAAGCAAGTATCCCAAGCCACAGGGGAATCTAAGTACTTTTAACAAAGCTCAGTGTCAAATGCAATGAACAGATAGGAATCGAAAGTTATTTTTGCTGTGAACTTATGAACAATCATAAGATCTTATTCTGTACTTCATTTGATCCTAAGTACTGAAAAGACTGAGCACTCACTTTTCCCTCTTATTTTTTTCTTGGTGCCCAAACAACACAGGCAAGGACTCAATTCAGAATGCTGATCTATAAGTTTGTAAAATTGCCTCTTCCGTTTCTTGTTCTGAAAAATTAGTAGCGTGGCCAACAGCAATGTGCTGCTGAGCATTTGGAAGTGTTGCTAAATCAAATCAAATCAAAGGATATTGCTAATTTTAAACGTGTCATAGCCTTGCTGTAAAATAGTTAGAACAGCATTCACTTCAGATAGTAGAAAATGTAGGAAACTGTTTAAACAAATCCCTTTGGAAATGTGGTACCAGGCTGGATGGTAGTGGAAACAGCAGTGGGAAATTCCTTGTACCAAATACTGTATTCAAAATGCTGGATTCTTATTCCTCTTACATCCCTTTTCACACACTGAAGTTATGTTCCTGAGGGATATCATAACCCATTCTTTCAGGAGTTACTTAAAATTAACAGTTGAAAGTTACAATTGAGCCTTCCTTTACAATCAGTAGAAATGGAAAACACCAACCCAATTCCCTACCTTCAATACCCATCCTGGGATGGGTTGAACTGCACTCTGGTTCTGCTTCTCCCTCTGCTGATTAGAAAGCGAGCCTTGGAGAGCACTTGAAGTGAGAGCCATGACTTTTACTTAGCTAATTTTGAGTAAATTAAATCCCACTCTTGCTTTAATTATGCTTCTAGCTGCAGGGAAAATGGAAAGGAAAGGGAAAAGGTAGTTCTAAATATAAACAGGATCAAGTCTGCATCCTATAAAGTTAATAACCATACACAGCAAGGGCAGCAAAAGATTTTGGAGCTCTGCAGCTGAATATACTAACTCTTTATTTAGTCCTAGAAGTTTTAGTCTTGTTGAAAGAGTGCAAGGCTGATAATAATGGCCATGAAGTCGAGAGGCGCGGGAGCATTTTCTTTTCAAGGAGTACATAATTTTTTTCTTTTACTGCAATCTAGTTCATTTCAATTACAGGAAAACATCTCAGGCTGCTTTTCACTAGCTTCAGAATAAATATGAAAGTCAATGAGGCCATCACTCAAAAAAAAAAAAGAAATCCACAAAAGAGAAAGTTTAAGAATTTTAGTGCCAGCCTTAAGGAGATACCTTTGTTTATTTTTTTTTTGCTTCTAATGTGTACATTTTCCTATGGATTGCAATAATATATTTTCCTAATAACTGAATGATATTCCAGTTCCTTTAGATCCTTTCATAAAGCCCACAAGTCAACTGTGCAGCTGAGCATGAATTTTCTCTCTGGTGTTCTCCTCACCTTTGCTGGAACCTGATATTTTCTGTCTATTGTATTTGCCTGACCAAACTGTGGCTTTTTCCAGAGCAGTGAGTGTCTGTGATGCCCTTGCAAAGCATGTGTAGATCATGCCAACTACACAATTCTGCATCCTGGGTTCAAGAAAGTGTTGTTGAGTACATGTTTTTTTAATGAAGCACAAAACATGAGTTTTATGAAATATCTTTCAGGAAAATAAGATTAAATAGCCATTGAATTTTTTTGGTACCAGGATAAAAGTCTCCACAAAAAAATATTAACTGCATTTGTCTGTAAGTAGAAGTGACTGTGGTTATAAGAGCAAAACACAAGCCCCAAATATTTTCTTACCCTCTTTCCAGCCCTCTGGGATTTTGTCAGTATGAGACTTCAAAGGGATAAGTGGCTTATATAATCAAAGATAAGAATACAAAAGGAAGGACTGTGAAATACCGAATAATCTCCTTAAGAATGCATTATTATCAAGAGAAATCAAGGTACAAAATTAATAGGAATAAATATGGTCAGCAAGAAATCTTAGATAAATAATAATAATGCAGTTAGGAGAGAGAATTAGACATAATTGCAGTATTAGTGCATTGCTAATGAAGCTGGAATGAAACCAGGGGGAAGAGATATATTTGTTGCCCATTGGCTCCTGCAGACTGGAGATAGTAAAATGGAAAAACACTGAAGAGAGAGGAAAATTTAATGAAAGTAGACTGACCTGCCAAATCAGCATTAATATGATATTTTTCATATAAGAAAGTGTAGGGAATATGACATTACCTTAATATTAGTGAAGTATTATAGTAGTCATCCAATAAGAGCCCACTTTTGCATATTTAAGTCATTTTTTTTCTTTGTGTGTGTGTGTGTTTTGTTGTTTGGTTGATTTGGTTTGTTTGTTTGTTTTAATTAAGAATGTTTTCTTGGATAAGGAGCATGAACAAAAATAATAGCAATCAATACTCTGGTAATGACAGAATTATTCTTTTCTTCTTCAATGTATTAAGAAAAATCCTTCAGTTCATTATCTCTAAACTGATGATTCATTGTCTATAAACCTTTATTTACAGCTATGAAATGGACTAAGGAATTTGACCAAGCATACAGTGGGGTAGGGAATTTTCTTGTTTGTTATCAAACTAGCTTTTTACTCCCTCTCCCTCTTTGTTTCCTTGTCCCCCTCTTTCTAAAACAATCTTTTCCCCATCTCTGCTAAGCATGTGGTTACAGGGAAAAAAATTCCTATTCCCTAACTGATTTTCATTTAGTGCACCAGGAGCCTTAAGCCACTTTGTGTGCAGATTTCCAGTTTCAATTAGAATGGGTTTGCAGACATCAGAGGATGTGAAAAATTATCTCATTTGAATCACATGAAACCAAACCACTATGACACTGCTGATGAGGAAAACAGTGGTCTTATCTTTCCTGTGGTGTGCCATCTCTATTAGACTTTGTAAACTGCGGCAGTTTGAAATCTTTAACCAGCCATTACTAATAAGCATATGTTAATTGTAGCAGAGATCATAAGCAGGTCAATTAGGAGGCAAAGACTGGAACAGAATGAAACATTCAGCTGGAGGGAGAATTCAGGGCAGGTGTCAGCCAGCATGCGCTGCCCTGGCAGGAGCTCTAAGCATCTTGGGTAGAGCTCATTTAACGTTTTGATTTGCTGAATTTGCATTTCAGATTTCCATTGCTAATAGACAATATAGTCAGTCTTTGTTAATGAGGACTCTGATTACATGTGCCATTATAATTGGGAATTAGCAGGCCAGCCTTGTTTTGGAGATTAAATCCAAAGTAAATTGGATTAAAGACAATACTGCTGAAATCCCTTTCTTTTTTGTTTTCTCAAGCCAAAGGTGAGAAAGACTCCATTTATTTTGTACATATGGCTCTTACCTTGATTAGCAGGTCTTGTGGTTTGTTTATGCTTTTTGAACATAGCATCTATTAGTGGTTCCAATATTAAAAGCAAGTATGAAATTACTATGTTTACTTACATGATCCCAACTAAGTGCCTAGCTTTGTAGCTGTGCACTGATGAATGGAATGCCAGGAGAGAATTAAGAGCATTATGAAACATTATTTCATATTATGGAGTAAAATTATTAGTCTCTAAATGTTCACCCTCCAAGGGTATATTCTGGTACTTACCACTGACTTTAACTCTTTGTGCATGGGTTTATCCCCACTTCATTTACACCAGTTTGACTCCACTGATTTCAGATGAGTTACTCCACTCTTAAAATGACTAGCTTAATATGTTATATAGTTCCATAGGTAGATTGATATTTTTTCAATAAATTCAAAATCAGAAAAGCAGGGTGAATTACTTTCTATTTGATCTCAGGTATTAGCAGAGAGCAAGACAAGTTCTGTCATTGACAAACATCAATATTAGATATGATACCTTTTTAGTAGCTGCAGACATACCCAGTTGTAGCTCATCTTTCATTAATATTATTCTGTGGTTCATTTATTTAAGTAAAATATAGTTCATTTTCCTTTGAAATTCCAAAATATTTTTGTTGTATAAGCTAGTTATACTTCATTTTCCATTAATAAGTTTGCAGAGCAAATTTTTACTTGCAACTGAACACCGACAATAGGCTTGCCCTGAAATTGTGGGAAAATCAGTCTTGCAATTAGAGGACAGCTTATTCCTTGTCATTACATTTAGCACCAGACAAGAAGTAGCTCTTTATGTATAGGTCATCAAAGGTAAAAAACAGAAAAAACTACAACCACAGTAAGTCTACAGATTCAGCAATGTTCTTGGTCTTTCAGGAAACTAAGGAATGCCAACCCAATGTTTTTGGGGTTTCCTATTTGTTGAATACATAAATTTCTTAAAATATCTTTTTCTCCATTACTTCCTTTAGACGAGCTCCTAGTCAGTTAGGTACTGCTTGGGTAACTCAACAAATCTGTGGACATGCACTCATTAAGTATAAAAGTTAAGTTGCATTAGTCCACTAGGAATCTTTGAGCATCCTCCTTGGCTTTCTGATGCTTCCTAGTAATCAGACTATAAGACAAGCATGTTAAAAAAAAAAAAAAAAAAAGAAGCTTCTTCTTTTTTTTTTTTATTTACTTTTGGGTTTACATAAGATTGGGGAAGGTGAGCTATTCAAGCAAAACAGATTTGCTGGAGTATAGAAGGCATTTCCAGGCAGTGGTATGTGAACTGTCCAGCATACATCTTTTTGTAGCCTAAGCTCCAGAGCAGAATTAAATATTGAAGTTTAGATGTCTTCTGTCTTTTCTATCTGTGAGTAGTTCAGATCAGAAAATATTATTTATCCCAGGAAAAAGTGTGGTGAATCACAGTGATATGCAAATAATCAATCACTTTCTATATGTGTCAGACACTCTGAACACCTTCATTCAACATTTACTGCATCTTTTGCATCAAATAAATATTCTTACAACCCTGTCTGATTTTTGAGTATTATGGGGTTTGTAGAAATACATTATTTCTCCATGACTGCTCTCTATCTGAAGGACAGAAGGGGAAAGTGAAACTGTACAAGAAAATTTGTCCAAGGAGATACCAGTGATAGCAGTGACCCTGTGCTTGATATGCTCTGCACTGACATCACAGTGTGACTATCCCTGCATTGCCAGTGTCAGGCTCCCACAGTGGATTTCAAATACTGAGTCCTATTCTTTCAGTGCTACCATGAAAATAGACTTAGCCATTAAACTGATGACAGGTGAAAGACTGGACAAATTAATGCCATTTGTTTGTCTTTGGTGGTACATATCATATACACAAATATGTGTTTGAATGTGACTGTGCACATTTTCATGTGTAGAGCCAAAACATGCAATGGAGGAGCAGAGATTTTTAAACAAATGTTAAAAAAATTAGCCTTAGATACATGTAATAGTCATAGCACTTTGCTTGGCATTTACAAGATACGAGTCCTTCAAATTAGAAATGTTGACATTGTGGCAAAAGGAGCCTATAAAATAATCCTCCTTGAAAAGAACTGATTATATAGGAAAACCCTCTGGAAAACAAAGGAGTTGTGACAAGACAAAAAGAGCCTCACATATGGTAGAAAGCCGGGACTGCAGCAAAACCTACTGAAGAGCTAAGTACATATTAATTTTTATCACACAGCAATTTTAAAAAGGGTTGTGTGGTTAACTACAGACTCTTCCTCACCTGATTTTTGTCCCCTAGGCAGAGGCTTTGTCAGGAAGTTCAGCAAATGGTTGATGATTCAACAACATTTTCACAGTGGAAGAGCCTTTGAACCTTAACTGTGAAAGACCTAATCTTGGAAGATTGTTACTGTTTATGATCCCATATTGTTCAATGTTTGTAAGGGCCTTTTTAGACCAACATAGGGATACACAGGTTCTGTCCCAAATAATTTGCAAGTTAACGTAGCACTGTTGCTGAAAGTATGACTCTCATCATTCTTCCAAAAAAAGCACCTGCATGATTATCCTTGTAGGTTCTTATACATGTGTAATCACTTGCTAGCATTTGTAAAGGATACAATTTTCAACAGAGATCTCAATATTTAATTAGAGGTAGAGTATGAACATAAGGGGTTTTGCTACTGAAGTTACTGAGACATTCTCTGCTGTTTCCAGAGCCATTTTTCTTCCAGATCTTCTCCTAGATGTACATGGGTGTGACAAGAATGTAAGGGCAGTATGACTTGGTGGTGGGCTCCAGGGTCTAGAAGCAAAGAGAAAAAAGATGCAAGCAAAGGCAAGCTAAAGGAGACAAATGAACAAGGCAGCCTAGGAGAAAATGGCAAGAAGGTTGACATGAAGAATATCCCTGAATGGCTGATACTGGTGTGTGCAGGGAAGGGGACTTTTCCTTTGTGACCTTACTGCCTGCACTGGTTTTGGCTGGGATAGAGTTAATCCTGCTATACAGTGTGTAGGCAGGGGAACAGGGAAAGAATCTGGAAAAGGCTGTTAGACCTCACAGTTCCCCTGGGTTCTATATTGACACCAGAGACATCCAGGGGTGACTGTGAGCCGGTTCCTTTTTAAAAGTCGGAAATGTCAATACTGTTAAGACAATGCCCCACAGTGATTTGGTTCCTGCTTGAAGAGTGAGAGAGCTGCACTCAGAATTTCCTCCTCTCGGGGCATTGCATTGACCCATGAAATCTGATTAGGAGGACTTACCTCCAGGTGGCCTTGATGGTAGAAACTGAATGTAGTTTCTGGCAATACTCAAGACACTTGAAAGTCAAAAAAATGGTAACATATTGTCTGCCTGTGTCATAGTACTAAACTAAGGAGTACTAAACTAAGGATCTTAGAATTCATTTTTAGAAGAATAATGCATTTCTTTTCTGGATAGTCTGTTTTGCAGTGCATGTTGCTGTACAATTTGAAGAAGACATATGCATATTTTTAATATGTTTAATAGTTGCAATTTATTTCACCAAGTGCAATCTTGGTCACGGTTACCAAGCCCTTCCTGAGCAAAGATACAAAAGGAATTTGATATTCTGGAATTAGTAGGACAGGTTCAGTCCTGACACAGGCAGTTGAGTACACCACTGGTGTTATTGGTGCTTCTCACACCCTGTCAGGGTTGAAGACAGGCCAACAAAAGCATGAATATTACCGGGTAAGATCTCATTTTTTTCAGAGTACCTGAGGGTGTAGATAATTTGGAAAGAAGAGGAACAAAAGAATTAAAAAGGAGGTTATCAGTACAGAAAATTGAACCTCAGTCAGATTCAATCAACCAAGCAATAGGTTTCCTCACCTCTTTTGATATAGATTGGCTGCCCCAATTGCACGGGCCTCTTGAGGCTTCACTATTTAAATTAGCAACTTAGTCTAGCAGGTAATGCACAGGCAGTGACCAAGGTTTTCAGAAAAGGAATTTGGTTTTGCAGTCCCATCACTCCAGACAAGTTCTGTTTGATTTCTACCTTGCTCCTCAATGTTGTTAGCCCCGTGGAGGTGTCCCTTGGCTGAAAGTTGGCTCAATAGGTTTGACAGGTTCTTTGCTTCTCTGGTGGTAGAATGGCAAGGTTGTGTATGGTTCTGGGAGACAGGAGCCATAGGGGATATTTGTTGATAAGTGGATAATTGTTTGTATACCCTTTCACACAGGGAAAACATATGTTTCTGATCTCAGGGTATTATCTTGTATTTGTACAGTGTCCCAACCTCTATGTTTTCCCCAGACCAATCTGTCTAAATATAACTATCACTGTAAAGACACTTAATTAGGTGTTCTTAAGGGTTTTTATGAGCTAAATCAAATTTCCTTAAATTACAATACTAGACCAACATGTTTTTTTTCATGCTTTATGCATATATATATATGTATAAATGTATAAATGTATAAATGTATATCTATATATCTATATATCTATATATCTATATATCTATATATCTATATATCTATATATCTATATATCCATATATCTATATATCTATATATCTACATATCTACATATCTATATATCTATATCTACTTGACAGCTTTGCCCTATACCCTAATTTACCAAGACCCATCATACTTCATCTCGTTATGCTGGTGGTTGAGTATTATTCTTTTCCATAACATTGGATTTCCTTCTTTCCCTTTCACCACCTGAAATTACACATATCTCCATCCATGGTAGGTATTCATACAGAACAAATTATTTACCCAAATACATATCACAGATATGACTATATATGCATTGATATTCATACACCTCAAAGAAAAATCTTGGTATTTTTGTTTACACTCAGAATATTGAAATATAAATTTTAATGTCTCAAGATTCCCTTTTTATCACATTATCACTCTCCTCAACAACAAAATAAAAGATTTCACTGCAAAAACCTGCAGGCAGGACTAACAAGCAGCAGCACCAAAGTGCTTTCTAGAGTCACCCCCTGTTACTATGAATTGTTCATGGAATCAGAGGCTGACTGCTAGTGGCACTTACCTTAGGTCTTCATTGTTATCCACTCCACTTGGTACAGGAGAACCCAGAAGTTCCAGGCTGAAGCTCAGGGGACATGTAACAGCTGAGGTTCTGGGTCAGGACAGAAATCTTCCCAGAGTCAGCAGATTTTGTATGTTATCTATCCTGATGACTCAGATTGCTAGTTCCTTTAGGAAGGCAATTCACACATGATACTGGTGATTCCTTGTTTGAGACCTGATGTATGAAAAAAGAAAATAAGGAAAAGCTTGAAAAAGAGCAGCATAATGAGAACTGTGCCTTTTGAACCTCACTTTCTGTTAAGTTTTCCATGGAAAGTGCATATACATTTCTGCACTAGGCACACAATACACCCCACTGTATCCAAAGCTGTTGCCAGGTTTTCTGTTTAAGCGTTTTCATCAAAGAACATTGAGTTGGCACTGGAATCAAAGGGATGATTTTTTATTTTTTTAATGTGAAAATAAAAGAATAGCTTTAACTGAGGGGAAAAGTTGCAGAATATGTGTGCATACGTGTGTGTGTTTGTATATGTGCGTGTATGTGTGTGTGTAGGGGGTAGCAGAGGGTATGACATAGCATATGAAGTCAATAGTGTAGTTGTTATTATTTATACATGAGTAAAGATTACAAATGCAGGCAATAGCTCAGATCTCTCACCCCCTGGATCTGTGAAACCTGTCACTCAGTCTCCTGCGGTGTGTCTTCCTGTCTCGGAGCCATTGGACCACCTGCTGCCATGACTCTCATCTATTGCATCGCCTGAAGGCCTCGATGATAACAGCATTGATTCCAATGTACATCTAATTACTTCTCATAATCTATTCATTTCACAATAGTGTAGTGAAACATCTGTCACATCATAAACTCTTTAGTATCCTTATCAAACCACCAAAACATACTCTGCTGCCAATTGGCAGCTAGCTTGCTTTCTCTTCTTATTAATATGATGCAAACATATCTATGTTTTTTTGGTTGTTTTAGATGAATTTCCCTGATGACCACTGAAAATGAATTGGGCAAACTGCAATTGTAACAACTACTCACAACTTAGTGAGGTACCATTATTATTGTCGTACAAATATCAGCAAAAATGACTCTGTTTTGTCCAGAGATAAAGGCTCTAAATAGGGTCTTTAACATTTACAGCACGGTAATAGATGGCTCCCTTCCTTGGCACAGTGTGACTGATTCATTTACTAAAATAAGCATCTCAGGGATTATTACATTTGAGCAGTATATTGCATGGAAAGTCCTTTTACCTTTATAGTTTTTTACTTTACCTGTGGGTAAATAATCCCCACTCTTCCTCTTTCTTCATGTAAGAAATCAAGAGCAAGGAGACTCATTAGCACATATTTTTATAATCAAACTGTAGAGAACCTATCTGTCCCAACAGGATCATGAATATACAGTTGCATCTGATAAAGAGGGCTGATTAGTCCACCGGAAGGAGCCTCTGATATTCAGGCAATATCACAGCAAATAAACTCTGAATAGTGAGGTGTTGGTTTACCATTACACACTGAATTATGATGAACAACAAATCCCAGATGAAAAGAGTGATGTATTAGCTGCTTATTCCCTCTCATGGTCAATGCTAGCACAAATTGCTGTATGTTCTTGTTGTTTTAACTCTGTGATGGAAATTAAATTAGTTTTTAATGGATAGCTGTAGAAAGGGGAGTCTTTTCTACATCTGCAGAAGGGATACAGCACAAGAAGCTATTCTGGAACTTCCTCAAATGTTTCAGACCAGCTTTTGAAGGAGCTGCTTCATGAGAGGCCATGGGCTCTCAGTAGCCGGTGAGGAAGCTAATTTGGATTCTCTGACAAGACTATAGTATGCTGCCAGTCATTGTAGTTACTTTTATTATCTGAACATCTGGCAGTAAGGAACTGGACTGCCGTTGCCAATTCAGGCTATATTTTGTTGGTTCCTGACCTTGCTGGGATTCGCAAGGGTGACCTAAATGTAAAGGAGTCCATATCTCATTAGGAACCCCCAGGACAGCCAGCTCTCTTTTATCCATTTGTCAATATATAATGCAATCCCATATATAAAGGAGCCTGAATATTTATCTGCCTCTATTTTCATCACTTGTGCATTTTCTCATTTGAAATAGATATAACTTGTACACACTTATTTAAAGTCCATGTTTTTACATCCAAAGTCACTACTCTGGCACAATAGGAAGCATACAGAGATTTTAATGCTCTTGACATTGCTTGCAATAGGAAAATGTCCAATGCATAAATCACTTACAAGTGAATGTTTGACCTATCAGTCCTTAATGCTGCCTTATAGGAGGATTTTTGCATTGGAGAACATTTGTCTTCATTAAGGGTAAAGAAAGAAGCATCTAAAGAAAAAGCTTTCAGAAAAGCTCAGCACTCATAGAACAAGTCAATGCCAGATCAAGACTGATCTCCTGATACTCCATTCCAAGCACCAAAATCGCTTTTATCATGTCTATTGAAGAATTCAATTTACTCCTCTTTCTACCATTCCCACATGGAGCTCCAGCCCATAGTTTGTAGTGAAATGGAGGAGGTTTACCTGGCCAGAGGAGAGGGTGGTATATTTACTCAGCAGTGTAGAGCACAACCACTGAGGCTAATGCCACCTTTGGATTACGGAGCCCCATGTGTCTCCTGCAGGGGTTACATTTGCAGCTCATGCTTCTCCTGCTGTTTCACCATGGGCCAAAATTGCCGTGTGGACTGAGCAGGGAACATTAACCATGGTAAAAGAGTTTTGCCACTTTCTCAGTTAAGCTTTATCTATGTAAGGAAACTTCCTTGGCTTCTCTGGTACCTAGGCATTTATATGCCTGGTGGGCAATAAGATCATATAAAAGAAGTCAATCTGAAAAGAAAACAAAGATACATAACATTTTCCCATAAACTTAGAATATTCATGAACCCTTGGCAGGGCGATACTTGTTGGATCAAGAGAATGAAAAATTAAGAATAAAATAAGATTGAACTATAGCTTTGAGATTTAAGACAATCATTTGCCAAAGGTAGAGTCAATTTACTTTTAATTTTTGAGATTTTCTTCATAAGCTTTATAGCTAAGGCTGTTTTTTTTCTTTTGAAATGTAAACTGGATTCTCATGCTGCCTCATGAAGGTAGGACATTAAGATTTTTTTAAGAATTTCAAGAAAATAGCAGTCAAATTACTCATAAAATACAAAACATCAGATTTCTTGCAAATACTTTTCTCACTACACCATCTAAATTAAGGATTGCAGTTACCAGTCAAAGACTAGTGCCAGAATAGACATATGACCATTAACAGGAAGTGGAAGTTTGAAGTGGGAAGTTTGCAAGTTATTTCTCAACAAAAAAACTTAAAATTGAAGTGTTCAGGGAACTAAGATTAGCATCTATGAGAGTAGGGAAACAATCTACAGTCAGTGCTACACTTGAGAACAGTCCCAAAACAAAGTGGATAAAAGATACTTTGGATTGACACCTGTATTCAAAGGGGAATTTGGGGAAAACCAAACCAACCCAAAACAACCCCCCATCCCCTATAACATGATACAAGGAATAATTAATTTCCTAGTTTTAGAGGGGAAAAAACACTTCAAAAATTTATTCAGATTAAACTTCAAAATAATTTTCAGCATTAACAGAGGTCTTCTAAGATATACAATGATATTGAAGAGGATATAAATATTTGTTTTCTTTTTCTAAATCAAAGGCCACTTTTTAAGAAAAATAAAAATTTGGAACCAAAATGATCAAATATTTGCTTTCAAAGTATCAAAATAGTATTTTAAAACATTATCAAAATGTAATCCTTATTTCTCTTCTTAAACTATAAACTTGACCTAGATTTTTTAATACTTCAAGTCCTTCCCAAAGGGAATTTTTTAACAAATTTACTGTCCATCAAAAGTAAGTAGATAAATAAATTAATAGAAATGGTTCAGTGCTATTTCAATGTAAAATTTTGAATTAGGGAGACTTAGAGATCATTTAACAAAAAAGCAAGTTGTCAAATATGTCTTACAGCAGAGTAGTACAGTACATTAACCTTGGTTAAGGTTCAAACTCCCACCCAGCTGCTCACTTACCACATCTCCCAAACAAGGTGCAGGGAGGAAACAGGATAAAAAAGCTTGTGGGTTGAGATAAATACAGGCAGAACAGTTACCAATTACAATCACAGGTAAGACACATTTGATTTTGGGAAAATTAATTTCTAGACATTTAAAATAGATCTGGGTAGTGAGGAGCAAAGCCAAAAAATTATATACCACCTCTCTTCCACTCCCTTTTTTTCTTATGCTCAGTTTCAGTGCCCCAGCTCCTGTACCCCCTCCCTGATGGGGAGTGAGGGTTGAAATCAATCCATAACAGTCCCTCCATGCTATTCCTTCCTCCATATGCTTTTCCCCTGCTCCAGCATGGGTCCTCTCTATGGGCTACACATCTTCAAGAACTGCTCCAGCATGGGCTCCACAGGGGCTGCATTCCTTTGGGATAAACCTGGTTCACTATGTGAGCTATTCCAGAGAATATTTCTTCAGTTCCTTGATGAAATATTCCCCTGCTCCAGCATGGGGTTCTCCACTGCCCTGGGAGTGTAGTAGATGTTCTGGTGTTGACTCCTCCACAAGCTGCAGGGAAATATCTGCTCGGACACCTGGAGCACCTCATCCTCCTCCCACTCCTCTGCCAGAAAAACCCTCAAGTGTTTGCAATGCTGTTTCTCACTTATTTCCCTCTTTCTCTGCACACGTGGCATTTTTTTTTGCTTTTTAAAAATACATTTTCCCCGAGGTGCCCCCACTGTGGCTGAGGGGCTCAGCTGTGCCCTGTGGTGGGTTGGCCTTGCCACTTACACCAAATATAAATCCGATGTTGCTTCTGAATGCCAAATATTTTGTATTTTAGGTTCTTTTCTTTTAGCTGGGAACTCAAATTTTTGGAGCTCCAATATGACCACAGACTTAATACAATAAGGACACACACTACAGCTGAAAGCCCTACAATTTCCTACAGGTTGCATTGTTTCTAAATTAGCAACAATGGACAGAAAGAGAGATCACTTCTTTATTTGCTTCAAGTTAGTTTCAAATCTTTCCAGGAGAGACTAAATGAATACAGACATTATATACTGACATAAAGCAGAAGAGCTCTGTTGAAGTCACCTGAGCTATGCTAATCTACCACAGCCAAGGAGTTCAGGTACTCAGTG